TTAGAAATGTATAAATGATTCTTGTGCACTTCCAATTATCCTCTCTTGTTAAAGTAGATAGAATGCACCTTTAACATTAATACATGTGTCATCATTTTCAATATCTTCCTCAATTCCTCTACAAACTCTATAGGATCTTCAATGACATCAACAAAATCAAGACCTTACCCTTCTGCAGTATCATTTACCTTGGTGTCTATGGTCAATGTCCGATGGGGACAATGTGAGGCAATATGACGCTTATTGTGGTAGTGGAAACAATCAATGAAGGATCCACTCTGGTGGGAACTAGAAATTGAAACTTCTTTTTCCTTAGAATTACTAGTTCTCAAGTTGAAATTGTTGCTACCTCTAGAGACAATTGTCCTAATTCTGCAGATCACTCTAAAGAGATTAACCTTTTGAAAAATATTATATAGAGATTAAAAATACATCTTCTCTCCCAATTCTTTTTTTCTTCCCTCTCTATCCTCTCTTCCAGCTCTACATCAGCAGTATATGTGTATTACTGAAACGCTAGATCCTAATTATTGTGTGTGTGTAAAGCAGTATCTATCTAAGGGTGGGAAAGTCACCCTTATAAAGAGTACTCTTTCATCCCTTCCTACCTATTTTTTGTCTTTGTTTCAAATTCCATGTTCTGTTGCTGATAGAATTGAAAAAATTCAGAGGGATTTTCTGTGGGGTGGAAGGGGAGAGGAGTTTAAGTATCATCTTGTTAATTGGGATCAAGTTTGCCAACCATTGAGATTCGGAGGGTTAGGCATTCGAAAAATTGTTCCTTTTAATCGTGCTCTCTTAGGAAAGTGGTTATGGCGATTTGGAAGGGAACGACATCGTCAGTGGAGAAGAGTTGTCTCGTGTCGTTTTGGTGAGGGGAGTGGGGGTTGGTCATCTCTTCCAGTTACTATTACGGGAGGCGTTGGTTTGTGGAAATTTATTCGGAAGGGATGGGATGTTTTCTCTACTCTTATTAGATTCAAAGTTCGTAATGGCAGGCATGTTCGTTTTTGGGAGGATCTTTGGTGTGGCGACCAGTTGCTTTCACACTCATTTCCTAGGCTTTATAGCATTGCAACTAATAAGCATGTTTTCGTGATTGATTGTTATCATCTTGATAACAATGGAGTTACGTGGGATGTGCGGTTTAGGCGGTCTTTTCAGGATTGGGAAATGGAGGAAGTTTCTGCTTTTTTGGATATTTTGTATAGGCAGAAGGATATTGGCAGAGGGTGTGATGATATTTTGTGGGTTCCTTTGGCTCATGGTCGGTATGATGTCCACTCTATGTTTATTCATTTATCCAATTTCGTTGGTTCCGAGTTTCCTTGGAAGTCCGTGTGGTGCTCTAAAGCCCCTCTTCGAATTGCGTTCTTCGCTTGGACAGCTACATTGGGGAAGATTTTGACTTTGGACAATTTGAGAAAGAGAGGTAACATCATTGTTAATTGGTGTTGTTTATGCAAAGACGATAGTGAATCCGTGGATCATATTCTTTTGCATTGTCCTGTGGCGTTTGGTTGTTGGAGTTTTATTTTCAGCATTTTCGGCATTTTTTGGGTAATGCCTAAGCACTCCTCTCAGTTGATTAACGCTTGGAAAAGCTGTCTTGTTAAGAAACAAGCTCGTGCTTATTGGAAGATTGTTCCTCATTGTGTCTGGTGGTGTTTGTGGCGTGAGAGAAATAACAGATCCTTTGAAGGAAAAGAATCGTCCTTAGCTAATTTAAAAATTCATATTCTTCGTTCTTTATTCTTTTATGTTAGAGGAAGTACATGCTCCTCGATTGATGATTTCTTTGATCTCTTGGATTCTATTGGTCCTTAGATCTTTTCTCTTGTATTAGGGATGCGTTCCCCTTTTGAACGTTTTTCTAATATATTTTTACTTATCAAAAAAAAAATTATTGTGTGTGTGTATATAACTGTCAATTCTTGCGGGTGCTACCCTATGTTACATGGACTCGGGTATGGGTGTCAGACACGGGTATGTATCCATGCGTCGGATGTGTCAAATCTCCAAACAGAACGACACATGGACACGGCTAAATATTCATTTTATTAATTATTTTGTTTTATTTTCTAGAGTAAAGTAATATTTTTATATAATATAATGTTCAATATAGGCATTTAACTCATTTTAAAGTAATAATATAATGTAATTAAATGATATGATATGTTTTTTAAGTACATGTCTAACCAAAAGTGTCAGACACATATCCCATACCCATGCCCGAAGGATATGTGTCCGACACGGGTACTTCACTACTTTTGAAGAGTCCACGTAACAGAGGTGCTACCAACCAGAAAGGGGAAATCGATATGATTAGAGAACAGACATAATCTATGTTACCTTAACTCGTCATTGAAACCCAAGGTGTACATGTTGACTTGACACAGACACACGCCAGGCACTCTATTATATCTACCGGACATGCCTACAAGGTAAGCAATTTATGCAGATGACTGTATTTTGTTTGCCTTTCTCGTCTAGGGGAGGGGGAAAAAATAACCTCTGGTTAAAAAATGGTGATTTTTTGAGGTTGAATATGCATGACTGTTCATGCACTAGCTTGCATGAGTTTTTAAACTGGTCAAAGAGTGGTTTTGTCATGCATGGCTCTATTAGATTTTTCTTTTTTCTTTTTTATACGTGGCTTGATCAGATTTTTCATAGTTGTGATGCTGCCACGTTGACACTATTTATGAGTGGTATGCCACTCGATGTTGGGAATCTTCTCAGTCCAGTTTACCTTTTTAGCTTTGAAAAATTAATATTCAAATTTTGATTTGGATGTATTGAGCAACATAATGAAAGACTTCCTTTTATTTGAAATTGTGTATGGAAGATTTCTAGAAAATCATGTATCCCTTCAACTTCCTACTTTATAGTCACATTGATGCTTTTTAATACGACACCCAAAAAAAAAAATTTGATTAGTTTTTTTGTTTACTATTAATACGACACCCAAAAATAACAAAAGAATGCATAAAAACCAGCAGAAATAATTACTATGAGGATTGATTTGGATTAGTTAATAATTTACTTATATTTTTCAATGAGTCTAAAATTATGTCCGTCAATATTTGTATATAGTGTCCAAGTAGCTGTACCTGATTTTTGGACACATTTAATTCGATTCTTCATATCTTTTTTTTTATTTTTTATTTTTATTTTATATAAGTTCTTCATATCCTATAATTTAATAAATGGATGAACCTGACCCCCAGACACGCACCTGTATACAACAACCGTACCTGAGACCAAGTGACATAGGCCATAATTATTTCTTTTCAAACTCATTTTGTTCTTGTATAACAAACATATCTAATAAGCTTTCACAATGTCTTCAGCAAGCTAATCCGATAGGACTGTTAACCACCTTTGAAGCTGACCCATACCAATCACCCCCATATCTTCCAGCAATCCCCCTTCTCATCTACATCAATCTATTACATGTCTTCGCATTCACTTCCTCGATAGGACTTCCATTAGAATTACCCATGTTCTAAATAGTTAAGACTTAGCTATTTAACTGAAAATCACACTAAATTCCATTCCAGTAAGCGACCCTTCAACCCATCCTCTAGCTATCCAACAAAAAGTCGCCTTGAAATTTTTTCGAACCTCTTCATAAGAAATCTGAAATTGTAAAGAGGGACATTAAGGTTGTAAGTCCTACCCTGAAAGGTACTTTCTCTTCCAGGTTCCTATTTGCTAATCTTCTCTCACATTTCTCCAATACTGCATCCTAAGTAACTGTAGCATTAAAGGATGATCCCAACAAAAGACCATTTTTTCTTTTATCAGAAACAAAAGACCCGAATCTGAAGGAGGAGAGAAACTATGATACACCCAAAGGTAACCGCCAGTTCCTTCATGCTATCCATCTTCCCAATGGATGCCATCTCAAACTTCCCCAAACACATATGAGGCTTCTAATATACTCCTCTCCCCATAGAAAAAGATAATACCATCAGCAAAATAGCAACTGGAAGATAGAGATTATCTCTCCACCTTGGTCTCAAACCACAGACCTTTAACCACTCGGCCTTAATTTGATCCAAGGTAGCTTAACGCATTATTCTCGATAAAAAATCAAAGTCTGTAATATTCACAAATTTTAAGATCTTATTCCAGATTCAAATCATTTTATATTCCCAATATTACCGGATTTTGAAATAATTTACCTCTCTTTGTCTGCAAAATTCATCAGTCCAGCACTCCAGCAACATCCAATGAGATATCCTAATTCCTCTTTATTTGTTGTAATGGACCAAGCAGGCAATTAAACCATAGGTTTAAACCTTAAAAGCCACCAACAAACTACAAACAGGGTTAACACTCAAGCTTGACTTTCTGATTCTAATGTTTGTCATCTCATATAAGTTAAGTTTTTGCTCGTATTCAAATTGTTTCCAGAATCACAATCACCATTGAAAACTAGTTATTCAAATTTCCAGCTAAATGGAGCTATATGTACATGTGTTGAATTAGGTAGTATAAAAGAACCTACAGATGCCATCCCAGTGCTATTTGATGTTCCCAACAGCCATTGGCCATGAAGACAGACGCATCAAGGCAAAAAACTTAAGTTTCCAAATAGTTATCTGTATGTTGTGGTTAATTCTCAACAAAATTTATAAGTGAACATCATGTTTGTGAATGTTTAAAAAAAGTTAACTCAATAGACAACAACATAATTCATGAGGAGAAAAAAATACAATTGCAATGAAATTCACATCCGTCATTACTACATGACCACTAGGGAAGCTCTAATGATGTGATTGCTGACTTTTTTCTGGAACTCATGTATCCTAAGAAGTAAACAGGGAGTTCTATGTGCCAACCAATAAAGGGTACTTGGTAAAAATTCGAAAAAGCTGATAAGAACCAACCTTTCTGGAACTCATGTATCCTAAGAAGTAAACAGAGAGTTCTATGTGCCAACCAATAAAGGGTACTTGTTAAAAATTTGAAAAATCTGATAAGAACCAAACCTTGGGAAGATATGAGGATAACCGGCCATGCAACTCAGATCCAGGAGTAAGGGCAAAGTTCAAGAATGCAGAAAGCACGGAGGCCTTCAGCTTCTGCCTCAATGCTATGGTTTGGCGTATGGCACGGACAATCCGACGAACCTCCCGTGCATATGCGCCAGTCTCAATGAGTGATGCAATCTCCTTCAAAACTGAAATCCCAATACACCCATATAATAAAGAACGAAAACCATAATCTATATTTTATTTATGTGTTTATATAGACACACATCTGAAATCCCAATACCACGAAAACTATAATTTACATTATATATATATATATATATATATATATATATATAGACATACATACATATATATATAGTTGTATAAATGGTTTGTTCCTTACGCTGCAAAGTAGAAGGAGAAGTCGAAGAAACGGAATTGGAAACAGCTGGAGCTGGAAGCTCTTTCATCTCCACGTCTTGAGTCATCTCTCAAAGCTCTACCAAATCCACACAAAAAAATTATATATATGACTGATAAGCTCATAAAACTGCGTATTTCATTCTTTTGAGAGAAAGATTTACCTGGAAATGGAGGGAGTGATTCAATTAGGTTGATCTATAGCGATCAGTTCCGGAGAAACTAGGGCACCCACTGCCTTCCACTGCAAGTCAAAATTTAAATTCTCAAATACGAATAGATTCACATACACACATATGTAGAGAGAGAGAGAGAGAGTGGGGCATGAATCGAACCTGAGATTCACTGATTGTGATTAGAGAAACCCTAAAACGTCTGATAGCGCACTTTCAGTACCTTTCCTAAGGAGCACGAAAAGAATATAATAAAACCATAGATGCGTTCATAAGAAATAAATATAAAAAACAAATAAAACAAAATAAAATATATCGATGTGCTTGTGCTAAAATGAAAAAAACAAAAAAAATAAAATTATTTACTTTTCATATTACTTTTGAGTCCTCCTACAAAGTACAAACCTTCAATTTTACCTTTTATATTTTTCACTATATTATCTTAAATTTTATATTGTGTACAAAGTTTTATTCTATTCTTTAAAATATTAATATTATTTTTATTCAAAAACACATTTGAATAACCTTCTTGTATTTTTTAAAATAAACTAATTATTTAACGGTTAAAATTTATAAATTGAAGAAAAAATTTCATTGCTTCATTGTGAATTTGTGACGGGGCTCACATTAATTGCCTAGAAAATAATAATTAATTGGAGTTAAGTCTTAATTTTAAGAGTAAAATATAGCCACACCCTTGAGGTTAGGTAAAAGAATACATAGATGAAAGCTATCCATTTTTTGGATAAAGACGCCCCTTCAAGTTTGAAAAATAGAAAAAGAGCCCCTGACAATGGTGAATTGACTTTATTATCCTTTGATATAAAATTGATATTTTAATTGCCTTAAATGCCTTTGGATTAAACCCAAACACAAACCTTTATTCCTTTATCTTTGTATATATATACACACATACACTCCATAATCACTGCCACTGCTAAAACCCCGCCTAATCCCAACCCATCACCAATTGTCGCCGCTGCCACCACCCACACAATCCCAATCATCAATTGCCGCCGCCACCACCCGCACAATCATCGCCTCTCAAACCCACCACCAATCCACGGCCTCTCCCTTAAACCCAGATTTTGCATAGCCCCTTTCTCCTCGTATATTTATATATACACACATAGATTACAAACTTTAAATAGTTGAACTGAACACGTCTAAGCAATATCTCTCGTGTTGGGAATTTATTTTAGTCGTAAATTTGATTCAATTTGATTGGGTTCTTGTGTTTGGGTTTATTTTTTAATATATCCGATCAATATCCCGCTCGGCAGACGACCCCTGCCCTTGCCGAGCCGGTGTTGGTTGTGATACCCCCAGATTTTCGACTGCGGGTTTGTAATACCCCTAAAATTAAAAAGGATATAATTGAGATTTTACTATTTATTTTAAGTGTTTTATGCGTTTACGTGGATATGTGTTTAGGTTTAATTGATTAAATTATTTGTTCGTTCTTTATTTGATTTAATTGTTTAGTCTTTAATTGATTTAATTGTCATTTGGGTTGTTTTTGAATTATTTTGTTGGTTAATTATTTTATGTAATTTAATTGTGGTTTTAATTAATTGGTTAATTGTTTTTTTTATTTTATTTAATTAAATAGGTTAAATTATTAGGGTTTTGTCTCTTTACTGTTACGTTTGAATAAAGCCGCCTTGTTTAATTAAGCCGCCTTAGAGATGTAAGGAATTGTTGATTTCCGTCACTACGATTAAAGTAAAATTAGGGTTAATATATTTTCCTAAGCCTATAAATAAAACAATAAGGGTCTGCTTAGGGTTGTAAGCACAAACCTTATTTACGAATAGTGAAAATACAGAGAGTGAAATAGAGAGTTTAAGGGAAAAACTGAAGGAGAGGAAGGTAGGGTTTGAGCCAAGGATTGTAAGCCGGACTAAGGAGGAAGCTTGAGGGTTGTTTGAGGGTTAGAACCGGAGCAGAGGAATCCTTGACGGCGGTCACGATCGCCGGAAAGTCTAGGAAGAAGACGACGTTGAAAGGTTTCAAACCGAAACCGAAAGGCAAGTTCTTTTCTTCCTCCTTCCTTTTGGCTTGTGTTCTGTGCACCTAGATAGTCTCTAGGGTTTAATTAATCAGAAACTGGAATTTACATGGTTAATATATACTATATTGATGGCTGTTTGTTGTTGAAATTAAATCTGTTACAATTCGTGCAAGTCTGTTTAGTTTTGTTTTCTTAAAGCATGTAAATTCTATTGGAATTTTAGTTACTGTATTTTCTTTCAACAACTGTAAACGAATGATTAGGATGCTACTGGGATTAGATAAGACTCCTAAGTTCAGTAGTGAAGAGGAACAAAGGGGATTGGAATGGAATTGATATTGCAAAATAGTTTTAGTTTTGTTCCTAAAGCATGTTTTGTTTCGGTAACAAATTTAGTTTTAATTTGATTTCAACTTCTGTAAACGAATCATGGGAATGTTACTAGGGTGTTATAAGACTCTTAAGATGAGTTTTAGAAATCAACAGAGTGGTAGGAATGGTCCAGAGATAGAGCAAATAGACTGAAATGAAGCAGAAACGGACTGAAGCTCTCAGAGGGGGACAAATTCAGCTTTCCAATGAGTAGAGCCAGCTCTAGAAAGAGTAAAGCAGGTTCTACCTCAACAAGAGCAGGCTCTAAACTCCTCTGAGCCGGCTCTAGGCTGATTAGAGCCTGCTCTAATTTTCCAAGAGCAGGCTCTACCCAATTTCATGCGTACTGTGACTTTTTAAGCTACTTTTTGGGCACTTGGGGTTTCTAAACAGTTTTAAAACTTTAATAGGGTTTTCAAAACATTATTTTAACATATAATCAAGGTCTTGAATTGCATAAAATACCCCTTTGTTTTAATAGAATTAAAAGTGCGCTAATTAACAATTTTGCCTACGGTTAACGGCTGGAAGGAAATAAATTGTCTAATTTTAATTTGACAATTTGGGGTGTTATAACATGATTCTAAATTAAATTTTAGATGCATAAGGAAGTATTTTAATTAACAAATTGGACTCATAGCATAGTTTATGGGTCGGTGCAAGAACAATAAAATAGTATACAAGTATGCAACATAGCTTGCTTTTGACGGATAAAAGGAACTGAATTGCTAGTTAGAATTAATTTTAGCAAATTCTTGGACAATACTATGATTTTAAATTTTTTTTAAATTGCACGATAGAGTTGTTGATTTACTAAAACTGATCTATTCATGCTCTGGATGCTAGTTGATAAACTGTTAAACAATACATGGGTTAACTCTTGGATTTAAATTGCTGAAACTTTAAATACGTTTCTGCAATTATTTGGATTTTGGTTTTGGATTGTAAATTGCTAAATTGTTATGTATCGGTTGTAATTTACATGGTTTTGGATTTAAATTGCTGAAACTTTAAATACGTTTCTGCAATTATTTGGATTTTGGTTTTGGATTGTAAATTGCTAAACTATTATGTATCGGTTGTAATTTACATGGTTTTTGATTTAAATTATTGAAATCCTAAATACTCTTCTGCAATTATTTGGAATGGTTTTGGACTGTAAATTGCTAAACTATTATGTAATTGTTGTAATTTACATGGATATGGAGGATTGTATGCACCGGTATGGGACGGTAGCATACTAGGTTTGGATTAGCACCAGTTGCTAAAATTCTACCTATTTTGGAATAAGGGTACGGGTTGTTAAATAAAATCCTCCTTATATACATGAGTCGGTGCGGTTGAATACGTCGAACGACTTACTGGATTTCTTATGGATGAATGTGAACGGATTTTATATATATTATTATGGTACCGTGACATAAGCTTGAGTCTCATAGTCAACGGTTAGGGAGCGTATATGCAGTAGGATGCGTAGCTAGCTATGTTGGTTGAGGTATACCCTGTTAGGCTTAGGTAGTCATGCCCACTCAGGTGCGTTTTGCATGTTGCCTTCTATTTAGGTTGAGACCCTTAGCATAGTCTAGTGAGAGTCCTATAGTATGGTTATATATTTATCTATTACGGACTATATAAATATTGTTGGGATATCTAGGGTGTATCTGCGTATCGGGTCACTGTATGGATGACAGTTAGAATAGAATTTGCATGTGAGCCTAACCCACTCTTATTTTTACAGGAGTTCGACGGTTCCAGCTTAAAGCTTGATCGTGCTGAGCAGATACAGTTATTCACTCCATCGACGATGTAGGATTTATTTCCATGTTTTAGACTTGGGTTTCTTCCCAGCTATGTAAATTTCAATTGGGATTTTTAGGGGTCCACTGGATGGATTCCCGAGTTGTAGTAGAAATGGAGAATTTGGATGTATTAGAATAATTTTTTATTAATAAAATTTCATTCTGAGGTTTTTGGATTATCATTCTAGTTTCTTTTCAGCAATTTATTTATTCCTGTTTTCTTAATTGTATTCTGTGTTCGTTAATTGCTAATTGATTTGATATCCTCGGGTAATCGGGCGTGGGCCTGGCCAACCCGCATCCGGAGATGCGGGGGTATCACAGTTGGTATCAGAGCACTCCAAGTTCTAGTGTCCTTAGGAGTGTCTTTCGTTGTTGGACTTCCGCGTTGCGTCTCTTTAAAACTTAGAGCCATATTAGGATTTGTTGTACTCTAATTATGATTCGTTAGGAGGAGCTGATGTCAATAAATTCTGTAGATACAGAATGGTTGACACTGGGAAGAGGATTTGGTCTAAGGTAAAAGCAATAAAGACCCTAAGGAGTAAAGGAGTACATAGTCGAGTTCTTTGCCAGAAACAAAACTTGGGATCGAAGATTTAGTTATGGGGTTGGCATTACTTAGAAAGTATGAGTCAAGAAAAGATTATGGCGTATGTGTTAGGTCACCGTCTATCGAGATCAACACGATTTCAGTTGTCCTCAACTAGGAGACAAATGTGGAGTAGGGGTCCGAAGCGGATCCCAAGGGAGGAGATCTTAGAGTATCCAAGAGAAAGGATACTAAATCTTCGGGATGAAAGATTGCAAGAGGATGAATTTGATTCACTCGTGGTAGAATGAATGGTACAAGTAGAGTGGGTGTGAACCAATCTACCTATAGTGAAACTCTTGTATCATCTCTAAGTGAGATATGTAAGAGGTACTCTTCAGAAGTTTAGGGAGCGGATGAAGTTCTTCACAGAACGAAATACATAGTGATTTATCATATTCCAAAGAGTATTGGGATTAGGATGTGACATTCTAAGTTGCTTTGTAAAGCCACGTTAGATGGGTTACATTCCGCATATAAGGAGGAGGAGAGTTAAGCTCGTT